CTTCCTTCACCATGCTCCTAGGGATTTTCATTCTTTCTCTCTTTTTTTACAGTCCACGTTTATAAAATTCTTCCCCCATGCCAGACACTGTCCTAAGCACTTTATATATGTTTGGAATATTTTAGTAACACTACTTAAACAAAAGAAGAGAAATAAACCTCCTAGTAACTAAGAGAAAAATAGCTAAATAAATAGGCAATTCTTGGAAGAGTAAATGACAACATATGAAAGGATACTCAAATGTACTAGAAGTCAGAAAAAGGTAATGTGAAACCACAATAAAAAGTTTGACCCTTACAAGAGTAGATCAGGATGGGATGCACCAGGATCCCCTTTATGCTACTGGAACACCATTGGTAATTCTGCTCCTAAATATGCTCCCTACAGACTCAACATAGACACAAGCACACAGGTGCAAGGCTATTCACAGCACCATTATTTGTCATAGCAAAAACCTGGAAAGAACCTAAATTTGCACTGACAAATAATAGATGAATAAATTGTTGTATGTGAAGCAGTGAAAATAAAAGTAGAATTATCAGTATGGATGATGACAAAGAGTCTCTCCCTGACTGAACTATAGTCAGGCTCTTCTGAATCTTCTTCCCAACTAGTTCCCAACTCTGGGGCCTCTGCGTTCATCTCTGCATTGTTCAATGTTAACAAGAATCCTGCTAAGTCAGTTTAACCAGAATCCCTAACCCTCGATATCTGATTGGGTTCCCCATTCGCCACCATCCCCCAGGTGATGTCAGATCACTCTGGGCTGCTCTCAGCAAGAATCCTGTTAAGTTTCTTCAGCCAGAATGCCCTCTTACCCCAGCTGTTTTCTCTCAGTAATTTTCCATCCACTGACCCCCACCCTGCTCCTTCACTTATTTCCACTTTTGCTTGTTATATTCAGAGTTGAGCCCCATCTCTCTCCCTTACTACAAAACTTCTTTGCAGTCATCCCTATACCTATCAAGATGGCCCTGCATAAAGCCTACCTTCCCATTTTGTAACAAATGTCATGAATGCTTTTTTCTTTAGCCTCAAATTTCACAAACATGATGGTGAAAAAAATAGACCAAGTTACATAAGAATAAATACAATATGATACTATTCAATCAAAGATTAAAAACATAAAAAAAGCAGGCCGGGCGTGGAGGCTCACGCCTGTAATCCCAGCACTTTGGGAGGCCGAGGTGGGCGGATCACGAGGTCAGGAGATCGAGACCATCCTAGCTAACACGGTGAAACCCCGTCTCTACTAAAAATACAAAAAAATTAACCGGGCATGGCGGCGGGCGCCTATAGTCCCAGCTACTCAGGAAGCTGAGGCAGGCGAATGGCGTGAACCTGGGAGGCGGAGCTTGCAGTGAGCCGAGATCGCTCCACTGCTCTCCAGCCTGGGCAACTGAGTGAGACTCTATCTCAAAAATAAATAAATAAATAAAGCTATATATTATTTTGTGAATGATAAGTACTGAACTCACATTCAGAATAGAGATTACCTCTGGTTTGTCAAAAGTGAAGGGGAGGAGAACACAGGAGTCTCTGACCATACTGGTAATGACCAGTAACGATTGGTAATGACTTACCAGTATGCGTTGTGGGTGCAAAGATGTTCAATGTATTTTTCTTTAAACTTTTGTAGGCCTGAGATATTTTGTGAAAAATTAAAATACACATGGAAACATAAACATGCTCTTCCCGTCCCGAAATAGGAAGTGTTATGAGAGAGTATGACAAGGGCACCTAATTTAGATTGGAGCAAGAGCTTCTGAGGAAGTGACATTTAAACTAAGACCTGACAGATGAGAATGAATTTGGGGGTTGGGGGGAAGGGGTGCAGCAGAAAGTTGGGAATAATTTTGTGCATTCAAGTTACCTGAAAGAAGTCAGAGAGATATGTAATGGACAAATCATGCTGGATCTTTTAAGCCAAGATAAAATTTCTAAACTTTATCCTAAGGACAATGTGACCTGAGTTGTGTTTTAAAATATTACTTTCTAACTAAAACAGTTTTGAAAATGAAGAACAAAGTGGAAGAATCGATACTACCTGAGTCAACCAAGACTCACTATAAAATATAAAGCTATAAAGCAACCAAGAGAGTACAGTATTAGTAAAGGGATAGACACATAGACCAATGGAACACAATAGAGAACCCAGAAATAGACCCACTCATGTGGGCAGCTGATTTTCAACAGAGGTCTAAAGGCAGTGCAAAAGAGGAAGGACAGGAGTCTTTTCAGCATATGGTGCTGGTGCTGGAACAACTGAATATCCCTATGCAATTAAAATAAAGAGCCGCAGTACATACCTTACACCATATAAAAAATTAACTCAAAATGGATCATAAATCTAAATGTAAAATATAGAACTACAAAACTTCTAGAAGAAAACATAGAAGATTTGCCCTTTATCAAAATAAGATAAACTGTTTGGAAAGTATATCTCTGACACTGAACTTGTATCTACACTAAAGAACACTCAGAGTTCAGGAGTTTGAGACCATCCTGGGCAACATGGCGAAACCTCATCTCTACAAAAAAAATACAAAAATTAGCCAGATGTGGTGGCATGTGCCTGTGGTCTCAGCTACTCAGTAGTCTGAGTTGGGTGCTGCTTGAGCCTGGGAGGCAGAGGCTACAGTGAGCTGAAATCGCATCACCACACTCCAGCTTGGGCAACAGAGCAAGACCTTGTCTCAAAACAAACAAACAAAAGGAATGCTCAAAACTCATTAATAAGAAAATAACCCAATTTAAAAATGGGCAAAAGATCTGAAAGATATGTTATTAAAGAAGATACACATAAAACAAAATGCTCAACATCATTGGGTGCTAGGGAAAATGCAAATTACAATCATAATGAGAAATCACTACACTCACTAGAATGGTGAGAAACTGACAATACCAAGTGCTGACAGGGATGCAGTGCAACTCAAACCTCCATTCACTGCTGAGAGAAATGCAAAATGGTATGTCCACTTTGGGAAATAGTTTGGCAGTTTCATCATATGATGCAAAAATGCCATTCCTAGGCATTTACTCAAAAGAAGCAAAACCTTATGTTCACTTAAAAACCTGCCCACAGATGTTTATAGTGGCCTTACTCTTTATTGCCCCAAACTGGAAACAACCAATAAATATATCACCTTGTGAATGGATCAACAAACTGTGGTACATCCATATAATAGGCAACCATTTGGCAATAAACAAACAAACAAAAACTAATGGTACACATATAACATTAAAAATTAATAATGAATAAATGATTCTCAAATGCACTGTATTAATTGAAAGATGTCAGACTCAAAAGACCACATACTATATGATTCCATTTATATTATAATATGGTAAAGGCAAATCTATAAGAACAGAAATCAGGTCAGTGATAAGTTGTAGGTAAGTGGAGGCAGTGACCACAAAATGGAATGGGGGAAGTTTTTGGGGTGATGAAACTCTTCTACATCAAGTGTGGTAGTGGTTATCCAACTGTGTCTGCCAAACTCACAGAACTATACACTAGAAATGGTGAATTTTACTGTATACAAACTGAGCTTAAGAACCAATGTACACTGTACTTTAAAAACATCACCCTGTCTGATGTGTGGAGAAGGGTAGGAGGGGAAAACAGTGGAAGAGGTAACAATATCAGAAGGTTATGGCAACATTCCAGTGTACGATGGTAGTGCCTTGGATGGGATACTGGTTACAGAACTGGAGACAAGTGGGTGGATACAAGATATATTTGCAAGGCTGTGAATCAGGACATGGAGATTGCTGATGGATGAGATGTGGAGGATGAGGGAGAAGAGGTATCAAGGTGAGCCGAAGATTTCTGGGTGAATGAAGGTGCACTAAACTCTGGTACATAACTTCTTGTAATTCCTGGAATGCTCTGCCAAGTCCTTGCATCTTTCACAAGGAGCACCCCTTTCCTGGACCAAATCCTTTAACTGATTAACTCTTATCTTTCAAGAGTCAACTCATGGTCTCCAGTATGGATTGTACTTCTCTGCTGTGTTTATATATCACCTTGTGAATATTCCTATCTTATTACACTGTACTACAATTGTCAGTTTATTCATCTGCCTCTTCTACCACAAAAAAACATTTTAAGGAAATGGTGATTTATTTTCCATGAGTTTCAGTTTGGAAGAAACTAATTCCAAATATTATCATATAATCAGAACTTTTCAAACCCTGTTACAGATTATTATAATACATTTAGCGTTATATTTGTGAAGTCCACACTAATACAGTGAATATAGACACAAGATAATATATCACTACGACTGTGATGAAAAAAAAAAAAAAAGTCAATGAATCAATGATCAAACTTTTTCACAGTTATCTGTTATGATGAACGCCAGTGTGGTTCAGTAAGAATAGCTCTAAACTTGGGATTAGAAGATTGTGGTGCAAATCTGGGCACTGTTGTCCACTGGTGGGGTGATCCTGGGCCAGTTATTTTAGTTCTGTGTCAGAATATCTTCATGTACAAATTAGAGAGCCTGCTAACAATAGGATGGGGTTTTAAGGAGTAAGTGAATTTATACGAAGAGAGGAGATCAGCCCAGGAATTGGATATTTTATACAGTAATAAATATAAGTTGACTTTGAGAGTGCTGTTAAGTGAATCAGTCTACATAATAAGTCCCTGACTTCCAGTCTTAGGAGTTTAAGACAAAAGGCAGGCCTCAGTTTCTATGCCTAATATACTAAGACTTTTTAAAAGCCTCTGTGAAAACATCTTTTAGGTAAAGTGATTGCATATATTGTAAAATAAATGAAGATGAGTTCTAACAGCAGGGGCCACAACCACATACTGAAAATGAGTAAGAACTTTCTGAATACAGAGAGGTCTTTTTAGTTACTTCTAAACTGGTCAGAATGATCAATTTTTTATAAGTATGAAATGATAAAGATAAATTAAATATCCTCTACCAAAAGGGAGCTACTTTAAACCACCTTTGTAAATTAGGAATTGGTGAGTTCCTTCTTACCTTTTGGGTAGATATCTTTTAGAGGGACTTCTCCTGGGGGTAAAATCCTCACAACCTGATTCAAATCTAAAAGAGTCACACAATTGCTTTGTTTTGGAGTCCCACTTTTCTTCTTTCCGCTATAGAACAATGTATCAGTGCCACTTCGCTTATGCAAAGATGATGGTCTCTTCCAAGAATAAACTTCACTAGGTGACTGAAAAAAAGAAAGAGATTAAAGTACTGAAGTACCATATACTACATTCACCACAACCTTAACAATGCAGACCTTTAAGCAGATACTAGGGGGGAAACTAATGTTTCAGAGGTATAAGAAAATCAAATTACTGGCTGGGTGCAGTGGCTCATGCCTGTAATCCTGGTACTTTGGGAGGCTAAGGTTAGTGGATCACTTGAGTTCAGGAGTTTGAGACTGGCCTGGGCAATACGGTGAAACCCCATCTCTACCAAAAATACAAAAATCAGCCAGACATCGTGGCACATGCTTGTATTCTCAGCTACTCAGGAGGCTGAGGAGATCGTGTGTTAAACAAACAAACAAAAATAAATGAAGTCATTTGGATGTGGTACAAGTGGTAGCTGCTTTGTCAATAATCATAATTTTCAGACAAGTGTAAAATACACACGTTAAATTTCTTATCTTGAAATCAATTACAACTAAACAGAAGAAATACAGGAATTAGTTAAAAAATAAACACGTATACATAATGAATAGAACATAACTAGCATTTTTAAAGCCCTGGGATGGCTTCAAAAGTGATTGGGGCCCTTCCCGGTCATTCTCTCTCTCTCTCTCCCCTAGATTTAACTCTTTTGGAATTTTGTGTTATTTTTCCCTTGCTTTACTTTAGATTTTTACCACATATGTATTTATCCTTCCTAAGATCATAAAGATATTTTCTTATGCTTTTTCTAACGTTTTAAGGCTTTATCTTTCACATTTAAGTCCTTAGCCTATCAGGAATTAATTTTTGTGAATGGTACGAAGTGGGGATCTGCAGTCATCCTTTCCTCACATGTATAGCTTATTGTCCAAATACCACTAACTTTTGCCCATAGCAACAGTATCATAAAACACAGTTTATATGCATGTATCTGTTTCTGGGCACTGCATTTTGTTCTACTGTGTATTTTTCTATTCCCAGGCCAACACATGGTCTTAGTTACTGAAGTTTTATAATTAACCTTGAAGTTTATTAGGAAGAGTACTTCTGTCTGGTCCTTCTTCAGAGATGTTCTGGTTATTGTTTGCCCTTGCAATAATGAGTTGCATTAGCTCTCTGCATCCTTGTCAGTACTTGGTATTGTCAGCGTTTTTTTTATTTTAGCCATTCTAATGGGTAGGTACTAGTATCTCATTATGGTTTTAATTTGCATTTCTCTAATGACTAATATGTCCAATAACTTTTCATGTACTTATTTGCCATCCCTCTATCCTCTTTGGTTAAGTGTTTGTTCAAGTCTTTTGCTCATTTTTTTTCCACATTTATCTTTAATTTTACTTCTATATCTACCTAAATACATTGAAATCTATGAGTTCACAAAAATATATCCAATTTTAATCTAATAACGACATGGTTCATTCTAGTTTTCTTCCTTCCAGTATCTGTAATTCCCCTAACAGTTAAAATTTTGTTTTCATTATCCTTAATGTATTTTGTCACCCTTCATATATTTACTTTCTGTATATGACCCATCTCCCGTCTCCACCACTAACCTTACTCCCTGGGCAGATGCTCCACTCTCCCTGCTTGGGTCCTGACAGCCCATATGGGGCCACACTCACACAGGGACACATACTTCACCTTACTTGGGCTCCTACATCCCACTCCAGGCTGCCCCTTCACAGGAATGCCATCTTCATCCTGCTTGGGCTTAATGCCCATCACTAGTGGTTACCTCTCCCCATCACAGATGCCCTTACCTTGCTTGGGCTCTGATCTTTGATAACTCACACTGGCCTACTGTTTGCTCATTTGTAAAATTAGGCTATTTGCCTTCTGACTGTTAAGTTTTAAGAACCTTTATAGACTCTAGATACCAGTTTTTGTTGGAAATGTGGTTTGCAAATATTTTCTCTCAGCCTGTAGATTGTCTTTTCATTCTCTTAACAGTGTCTTTTAACAGAGCTCAAATTTTAAAGTTTGATGCAGCACAGTTTATCAATTTTCTCTTTATATATCATGTCTAAGACACTATTACCATGTTTAATAGAAGTGGTAACAGTGGGCATCCTTGTTTTATTCCTAATGAGAATAGAAAAGAAATACTTTTAATGTTTCACCATTGAGGATGATATTTGCTATAGATTCTTACCGCTATTTGGTATTAGATTTTAAAAGTTATATAAGTAATAATTTAGATGCCACTGATAACTCCATGAAAAAGTTAATAAGAGGTAGCATACTCATCTGTCAATAGTTTAATAGAGAATCCAAAGAAGTTCACATAAAGCAAGAAGGCAGAGTGGTGTGGTAAAAAGGATGTGTGTTAGAGGGCTGGCTAGTCACACTTGAGCTCAAACCCCATTGCTTAGAGTCTTTGTGGCCTAGGGGATATAAGCTCTCTCTGTTTCTGTTGTTTCATTTGTAAAACCTCATAGAATTGTTGTAAAAATTAACTATCATGTGTGAAAGGGCTTAGGGTAGCACACTGCCTATTGTGTTGTGGCCTAAAAATCTTATTGTCATCTTAAAAGGCTGTCTAGCTGACTCTAATCTTCTATTTAACAAATACTCATTAAATACCTCCTATGTGGTAGGTACCACACGAAGAAGCAGGGATATAGCTTTTAATTTAACAAGGTCACTAGTCTTACAGGCTGTAAGAATTTCTACAAGGTTAATACAAACAGTGCCTTAACTTAGCTTTTATTTTCTAACTTTTTATAATAATATTATACTTCTATATTGATTTCTTCAATCATAAGAAGGTAATTAGAAGACCAATTTTTAAAATAGTTTTACCTCCAGAAAAAGTTCCAAGTTTTTTATAGCAGCAAACATTGTAGAAAGCATATAAAACACATCTCTTTTATTATATCAAGGCTGCTGTAAACACTGTATTTCAATAACATTTCATTTTGAATTATATGATAGCAGATGCTTTTTACTTGATAATTAGGAACACATATATCAGAGTCCTAAGCCACATATTATCCATTGAGTTTTAGATTTCAAATCTTATATCCTGAAGTACCCAGCATTCATTAACTATATTAAAATTTTGAGGCATACAAAATTAGAGTACTATCAAGTACAGCCCATATTTTTACCTTGAAATAATTCTATCATCCCATCTAAAAGCCACAAAGGAAATTATAAAAATTAAATGCTTAGTCAAAACACACGGAGCTACATCTAAGGTTATTAGATGCCAACTTGGACTGAAATAACTTTTATAGTAACTTCCCCACATTTCCATCGGAGGAAGATGTTGCCCAGTTTCACCTAAAGTCAATTCAAATAGCTTCTCCTTTATAGGTAACAGTAGATAACAGAAGGGCCCATCTAAGAGAAAAATCAATTGAGACAATTAGCCATTATTCTATCACCTGGATGCTGCAAAGATATGATAAATTGGAGCAAAACTCAATGGAAAATAAATCTATCTTCATGACTGTTAAAAATTTTAATCTACAATAATGACAATTCAACAAATTTAACTTTACACAGGAACAAAAAAACCAAATATCGCATGTTCTCACTTACAAGCGGGAGCGAAACACCGAGGACATATGGACACAAAGAAGGGAACAACAGACACTGACACCTACTTGAGGGTGGAGAGTGGGAGGAGGATGAGGATCAAAAAACTACCTATCAGGTACTATGCTTATTACTTGGATGACCAAACTATCTGTACGACAAACCCCCGTGACATGCAATTTACTTATATAACAAACCTGCACACGTACACTTGAACCTAAAATAAAAGTTAATAAATAAATAAATAAACAGAATGTGTAGATGGAAAAATAATTAACTTTAAAAAATTCTAGAAGACATGATAGAAAATTACCATTGGAAGGTGAAGCATTTAAACTGTATTACATGAACTCCCACATATGGAGAATACTCGTTTCCCCCTACTGAATTCTATCATCGCATTACACTTTCAATGTTAATTTTAAAGTGTAATGAAACTATTTAGGTACAACATATTTTCTACTGACTGATTTGGAAGGCAGACTTGATCCAACATGTTTACCAGGAAATCATGTTTTTAATTACCCCTCAAATAGGCTTACAGATTATAGGTCAAATTGAGGGAAAGAAATATTTATCCAATAATTTAAAAAATGGGTGCTTACCATGAGATCTGGAAAACCAACAACTATTGTAGCATAATTGTTCTCATCTGAGAGAATTCTGTTGGGAGAGGCAATCTTTTGTTCCACAGCTGAACTTAGATGTTCAGATGATAGTTGATCACTGGAAATTTTATGAGGTATGCTGAACTCTGTTTCTGAAAAGCATCAGACAAACATTAGACACCATATGCTCCGGAAATGCTCCAGGGATTAATTTTTTGCAAGATTTTATTCTTGACAAGTCAAATGGAAAAGAACAAGTTAAAAAAGAGGAAACACTTTAAATTACATTCATGGGCTTTTGTTTGAAAAAAATGCTGTTTTTATAACCAAGACATCTTCCCAAAGTGATTTCAAGTATTTATAGAATTCAAAATTTTATTAGGAATAAATACTATAATTAATAGTTCCCTGTAGAAAAGATGTGAAAACTGACCCAACCAAGTGTTGGCAATGGTGTTTTAGATTTTTTTCATAAGTACTATTCATCCCCCAAAACTGTGATAAATTAAGTAGAAATCCCAATAGTCTGTAGAAAAAAAGATGTTATCCTAAATTAGACTTGCAATCTAAATGTAAAAAAATAAAAATACTGATTTCTCAGTTAAAAAAATTCAAGGACAGAGCTTACAACAGTGAACTTCCTTATGACAATTTGAGATAGTAGATTCTTATTTACTATTTCTGGTGTAGTGACTAAGTTTTTTCTTTTGGTGTAAACTTAACATAGGCTGGTGTTTTGTTCTTAAATGATTCTAGAGCTCAGTATGTGTACAAGCATGCACTCACACAGTCATAAACACAGATGACATAGTATTTACCTTGTGTAACTCCAAACCCCGTGCTGGGTGGCTCCTCGTTCAGCACATACAACTGGCAAACCCCACTACCCTCAGACTCGATGTATGCAGGCTTAGTTAAAAGATATTTCCTGCAAACAAACAAAACATCTAGCTTAAGTGAAATTTTTCTTTTTCTAATAGTCATAAGGCCAGACTAAGAAAAATTAGATTCTCTTCAGCCTCTTCTTTATAGTTCCAGTATAATTTGAAGTTTTAGAGTTTCATCATGAATTAACAAATAACTTCTCAACACTGTGTTAAAGAGCAGTGCACAACAGCAATTCAGTAATGAATGTGAAGCAAAAATTCCAGTGCTTCCTATAAGAGAAAGGGTTGTGGTGGGGGGGAGGAAAGCAACTCGAATGGGGTACACTCTTATTATCATGTAGCCTTCTCTTGATAAAACTCTTTGATCAGCCAGGAAGGGGGAGCATGACTTCTGATTTGTGATCAGCTAAGAGACAGATGCCCTCACAACTGAAATCTCCTTGATCTACTTATTTTTAACATTTCTAAAATATGGATGTATATATAGGCAGAAATCCTCTGCAATGAGCTACTTCTGCTTGTCAGCAGAGGGGCAGAAAGAGTCTGCACTTAGCTAGTGGAGTTGTGCATGAGGGAAGGTGCTCAAAGTTGACACTGTCTTTCATCAAGAACTGCACAGTCCGATGGGTCAGACAACAAAAACATAAACATAACCACATCCAAACCAGAATACACAAGATAAAAAGAGAAAGAAACTTCTAAGGTGTGAACTCTGTGAATTTACAAAAAGGCAACAGCTCTAAGGATGGAGACTGTGGCTCTTTGAAGGGAAAATCTACTTTGAAGTATCTCCAGTTTGGCAAGAATACAGTGAATTCTCAATGTACAAATAGGAAAAAGCCCAAATAACTATGGATCATATGAAAAAGTCATGATTTTTTTAACTGTTAATTTCAATGCCATTTTGAGAAGTGACATTTATTTTTTCTCCCCGCCTCACTTCTTATAAGTCTCATATACAGAGATGCTGCCAAACACAGAAATTGCTAAAAGATAGACACGGGAAAGACAGAACAGTAAAGATGATGGATAATTGATAAATAAGATTGAGCTACAACATACTCCATGATACACTATATAAAGCCACTCACTGATTTGTTTTGCTCTCCACCAGAAGCCATTTGTCCTCTGCTACAAGGAAAACTGTCTTGAGATTGATGGGAAGTGAGATGGTGTGAGTTCGCCCTTCTAGAACATCCAGCACAGTCAGGCTGTTCCTGGAAAAGAAGAAAACTGTATCTGAAAGGAAATGGTGAGGATAATGGTTGAGTAATCTGGCATAATCATTTCATGATACATTATGCAACCCGTAAATAGAATGTTTTTAAGACTGAGTAATGATGTAGAAAAATGTTAATTGAGAAAAACAGATATGCAAAATTCTAAACTATGTCAGGGTGTGTATAAGTAAAAATAATGGAAAGCAGTGACCATTGCCATGTTAGTAGTGGCTATGTCATGGAATTGTGAGCATTAGCTTTTCTTATGTCTGTTTCTCAGTATTCTGCAATGTGGGCAAAGTTACTTTTATATTAAAACATTCATAATTTGGTTACATTCACTTTATAGTAAACAAGTATAATCAAAACAGCAAATAGAATGGGCCAAATAAGAACTTCAGTTTAAATCTTCTATAATAAAGAGCTCACCCTTTTTCTTTGTAGAATACCAGCCAGTTTTTGTGTGAAAATTCTTTACACATTTTATAAGTTTCCTAAACACAAAACAAAACAAGATATTCACATTTAATGTGTCAGATACAGTCATGTCTCTCTTTAGCCACTTCCCCTTAAATAAAATAAAGTTCTTCAACTTGTAAAACATGTAATTCTCAAACAAGCTATCTATTTATCTACTCTAAGACTCTTATGGTAAAATGGATTAAACTATATATCAAAATTTACTGTGAACTATATACTAAAACCACTTCAGAATAAATTTTTAAAAACAATACCAAACATTGTTAAGAAATAACAGGCTATCTGATGATTAACCATGGAATTTACACCATAAAATAAACACATGGGAAACACTTTGTTTCTTATATTAGGAAACATTTATGACATTTTAAAAAATAACTTTTTTCATAGTCTTTTAAGACCTAAGTATGTTGACTTGCAGGACAGAGGGTAAACCTTATTTTAAAACCATTATTTTTTTCTGAATGGCAGAATAAATTCTCTTGTGTTGGCCTAAACTATTTACTTACTAGTTTAATTTAGTTAATAAACTAAAATACGTATTTGTCTAGTAGAGGAAATTAGGTAGCATACTCACAGTTTTATCATATAAATCCAAAACATAACTACATAACTGGAAAACACATTAAATTGACTTCATAATCAGAAATTTGTTAAAAATACCATATCCAAATACTTATTAATTTTCTCTTGTTAGTCCAGTCCTGGCAAATCTTCATGCAAGTATAATGTCATAAAAAGAAGTTATTGATATTTAATTATACACATATCTATGGTTATATATATCATGTTAAAATCTATATGTGCATAACAGGAAATTCTCTTGTGCATTACAACAAACCAAAGGCACTTAAAGGGATGGGCACGCATGCATCTTTCTGGTTAGAAGGCTATAGAAATCCTTGGCAATTTGCTGGACAAATGTGGTGTTTCTTACAGCTTCTTCTTTGTTCCACCAGAAAGGTTTCTTAGGTGTAAGTTTCTCTGAAGGGAGGATGAGGCGACGAAGGGCCCGGCCAGTGGTATCTAACAGCAGGATAACATCACTCTGCAAATGATAAAAACAGTGAAAAGTTCGAGATTTTTTTTTTTTTTTTTTTTTTTAAAGCGGCAACCTCTTGGCAACCTGACAATGAAGGTTATAGGGATAAATCAAAACAAAGACAATATTGTAATACTGAAGAAATATCACAAAGACATTAAATGATTTTTCTTAATGAAGAATTTAAAATTGTTGGTGGTTTTATGAAGACATTTCTAAATATGTGATGCAGAAGGTATTCTCTTTAAATATTTTTATGTAACAACCATTCCCTTTTAACTATAAGCTAGTTGAACCATGATTCTGTTTGATTATCTAGTAATAAGGAAACTACAAAGATTGATGATTTTAAGAAGTTCATCTACCTGTACCAAAATTATACTTAGAGAATGCTCTGTTGAAAGCTCTCTTATATTGTGCATAATTAAATCTTACTTATCTTTTTCACAAATCCAGGTTCAATTTAGAAAATAGGTATAAAATAGATATAAAGATGAGTTGGCAAAAAATATGCAGGACTCCAAGAAACTAGCTAGTAATGAGTGTTCCTTCATTTAGAAATTCACCAAGCTTGAAGGACCTTTATAACTGGTGCTATAATAAAGTACAAACAACAGATTTCTGCAGCATTATTAATTATAGCTATGCAATGATGTAATCTTTCAGTAATTAGGATATATTTTTTAAGAAAATAAATAAACCTTATGTGTTGAAATATATGAACTGAAATACATGAAATAAAAACTTAACATTGAGAAAGCCAGAAAAAAATTAAATATTTTAAAGGGATGCAAAGAAGTTGGTTTTTCAGTTAAAATATAAAGAGGTTTGAAGATTAGACTAACAGGTTTGCAAAAAGGTACCTGCAAGTTATTTGTCAGACCTCATTGTTATGCAGGTGTCTTTTCTCTCTTTGTTTTATTTTATTTTATATTTGGGGCTCCTCCAGTTATCCTAACTCCTGTGAACTTTTCATTTCAAGAAGAATTTCTTTTGGAGAAGATAAAGTCATAAAGCACACGAATAATTAATTCAAACCTTGAAAAATATAGAAAACAATAAATTGTGAAGTGTTTGTTCATTTATTCCATAATATTTATTGAGGAGCTTATATTTAATATATAAAGAATACAACGATGAATTAATCATGACCCTTGTCTTCTGTCATATAATTTAGTCAGAGAAATAAGAAGAAATGTTAAAAAATGAATGATTCATCTGCAAATCTAGCATCTCAGTGTGGTTTTAATTTTATTTTACAAGCTAATTTTATGGAAGTGCTCAAGAATTAAAATAGTATTTGCACCATATAACTCACTTCACACTATATACTCTGATTTTTAGATGTATTAAAAAATTTTACTGATCATGTTAACAAAGCTTTAATTTCTTTCATAAACATCACCCTTAGAATGCATCATTCTGTATGAGATATAATTCTCCATTAAGAATGTGTGTTAGAAATATTCTTTTAAAAATTAACATATAACAAGTATCATTCACCACTACTTGACAGTTTTGAAAATGGTAATGATACCTTAGAGTTTTCCTTAAGAAAAAAATAAAATTAAGTTAAAAATTTACAATCTCCATTCTAGATTAAATATTTTTTGAATAAGTATTTTTTGATGGAAAAAATCTTTCTTGTATAATAAATATGTACAACATTAAAATGAACTCTTAGTACTTAAGCAATTTGGGATAATATTAGCCTTTGTAAGCAAAAGGAAGTCCTAAAAATGTTTCATGCCTAAAAATGAGTAAGCATAAGAATAAGCAGTTGATTAAACAAATATGATCAAGTATAAAAATAAGTTAGTATCGTCTTCCATTTTTCTACCTTTTTAAGGTCTAATACTTACATATTCATAACATGGCATAAGTGAACTGAAAAACTATGTCTTTCTAAGTGACAGAAAACATATATTTCCAGCCACTGCTGTATTTAGAATTAGTTTATAAGCAATTGGCAACATGAAGGAGTTCTGTTGCTCCATCCTTTTAGATGTTAATGGTTTCCTTCTGTAAATGACTAATGATAGATTCTGTCTGGGTTTAAAAATAGAATTTTGCGTCATACATGAGTACATGTAACTGTGGCTTTGGCACTCCTTTAAGGGGGGCAGGGAGGAGACGCAAGTGAGCAATTTTATTATGTTTGTATTTGACTGGGAGAAAAGTAACCTCTGGATGACCTCAATGTCCCTAAATCTGAAATTCTAAACTTTGTACAGATGTAATAAATAATCTCATGGGGAGTGGGGGAAGGGGAGGGTCTTTATTTTTAGGCATGGCAAAGTTTCCCTTTTCTTACTTAAGATTTTATTTTAGCAAGGAATTTTTGAACAACTTCTTAAACTAACCAGGGACATGCATCTGTAGCAAAGATTCATGTTAAAAAGACAAGGAATAGCCAAATTCATGGAAGTACTTTTCTACAATATTTTTGCTTCATTTTTAGTTAGGGTAGAATGAAGAAGAAGGAATTGATGGCAGTCTACTTATTTCTCATTCCACTAGAATTATTTATCAGTTGTTAAATTTCACAGCTCTGTGCTGTTCACATGGAATTGTACAGGTCTGACATCTTGACAGGGGTATATTATAAAATAGTTAAGATACCCTCTCTGGGAAAAGAGAAGGCAGTTTAGAGGACAGGTAGAGAGGAAGTATACAGACACGGTGTGCAGGTCTGCTCAGGGTTCCGAAGCACTTTTCTGGAAAACTTGAAACTGTGGCCAAAGGGATAAGCAAGGCAGCATATAAGGAGGCAAGGTGCTGGCTATGGAAGTCAAGCACAGCTTCACCATGAAAATCAGATTTTCTTCCATGAAAGTAATTGAAATTAAACAGAGTATTAATTAGCAATGTTACCAAATAATTGGATCTTTTGAGAAAGTAAAACTCTTGCTGAGAACCTACAAATCTGGCACTTTTATTAAAGAATTTGTGTATGTAAATTTGACAGTGAATTTGACAGTTGAAAATGTGGCAGGACTGTTTAAATAAATATTCCAAATGTAGTCTCATCCAAATCTGACTGACTTACTAAATTACAAACCACCAAGATATCGTGTACCTTTTATGACAGATTGTTTTGGCTACAGAGTTAAATTCAATGGCATCGATACTTTGTTGAAAATCTATAAAGTAAAACCCTCATTCCAATTTTCAGGACATAAACTTTTATAAACAATATCTGGATATTTATAAATTCTGCTTCTAGGAGAAAGTAAAAGTAAAAATAAAAAAGTAAAAACAAAATCAGAAAAATACTTATAACTCAGAATTTATGATAATTTCTGGAGGCACGGACTAAAGTTAACGTTGACTTATTTCCTCAATGAACTACTGACATATTATGTAATACTTTTCTCTTGATTAGTGAAAGTATTATTTCTTGGTAGCACTTTGCTCTTTAAATATTCATAAGTAACAACACTGCATTTAAAAAATATTTTCCTATTATGAGTACTTGTTAAGTTTTCAAACTAATCTTTTCCCCCAAATCTGTAGTGAGGGAGAGAGTAGGTGATGTTTAATTCCGGTAGGGTCAAACCAATCTGCTGTGAATCTCAGTTCTACTATTTCCCTGCCAGACAAGTTATTTGAAGTCTGAGCCTCAGTCCTCTCATATGTAAATGTGGCTAAGAGCTACCCTCACTGGGCAGTTGGAAGAATAACATGAGTAAGTAAGCAATCTCTTACATGTTATGTTGGCAGCATTTAACAATTGATCCTTATCTTTGAGACACTCATCACTTGCATTCCTGGATAACACACTCCTCAGTTTATCCATCTACTCTACTGGTCACTCATTTTCAAACTCCATCATTGATTCTTCCTCATCTTCCTGATTTCTTAAAATTTTACTGCCCCAAGTCTTAGTGTTTGAACTTCTGTTCTCTACATTCAGTCCCTTGGTGAGTTCTTTCAGTCTCATGGCTTTAAAGAACATTTATTTGTTAATGAATCCCAAGTTGGTATATCCTGGTAGGAGCTCTCCATTGAACTCCAGTCTTACCATCTATGTGGATATTTAATGGACATCTCAAACTGAATCTAATATCATCTGAGCTTCCCTCCCAGATTCCTTCCCCATCTTAGTCAATGGCAACTTCAAGTTGCTCAGTCCCTAAATCTTACGGTTGTCCTTTACTCTCTTTCTGACCCTATATATTGGAATTGTTAGGAAATCCTGTTGGTTCTACCTTCAAAATATTTCTAGAATCTGTCATTGCTTATGAGCCCCATCCTCCTCCAAACCACCATGTCTCTTAACTAGTCTCCCTCATTGTGCCTTAGCACCTACAGACTATTCACACAGAGCACCCAGAGAAATCCTTTAATCATGCTAGCTCCCTGCTCAAAATCTCCTCCTGTCTTCCTCTTTTACTCATAGTCAGGATCCAGAAACTTCAACGGCCTACAAGACTCTACACCAGTGGTGCTCAACCTTTTTCACACCAGGGACCAGTTTCGTGGAAAACTGTCCCATGACTGGAGAGGTGGGGTGGGGGCTGTGTGGTGGTTTCAGGATGAAATTGTTCTATCTAAGATCATCAGGCATTAGGTTCTTCAAGGAGCGCACAACCTAGATATCTTGCATGCGCAGTTCACAATAGGGCTCACGGGCCTATGAAAATGCAATGCTGTGGCTAATCTGACAGGAGGTGGAGCTCAGGCAGCAATGCTTCCTTGCCCACCACTTACCTCCTGCTGTGCGGCCCAGTTCCTAACAGGCCAGGAGCCAATAC